TATTTTTTTAACATTGATGATGTTCTCATTTTATTTATATTGAAGTGGGTTGTACATCATTTTTAATTTTACCACTTGTTGACTTGACTCGCGAGGATACCTGCATGTTTCATACATAAAATAATAAAATTTCAGTTAAAAAAAAGTTATCATCACGCATTGGTCATTAGCTGTCATGATGCCAGTAAGAATGCTACGACATAGTCATGAAATTATTACGTCATCGGTTTCTAATACGTCTGCAAAATTTCTGATTAATTGGACGTCTGGAAAAAGGCAAAAGAAAATTCATAACATTTATACATACAAACATATCAGCCTCCGAAAACACGACTTGAAATATATATTTCCAAGACTTCTGTAGTCCACAAACGTGTATTAATGCATCGTGGTTGCTTGTTTTGCCCTGAAATCGTTTGAAAAATGGACAAAGTCTGTAGTCAGTAGAAGAAAATGTGAAATCTGCCCTGTAGCTCAATCACTTTCTTCTTCAACGACTCATAAATAGTCTCAGTATTCCAGCCACTAAGCAACAGTACTGCTGTAAACAATAATCATCATCATTACAGCCCATCACAAGTCCCCTACTGAATACGAGTATACTCCTCCAAGGAATGCCACAAAGTACGGTCGTGAGCCACATGCATCCATATCTTTTACCATACCGCCATTCCATCTAGTGGAGACATGCCCTACATTATTTTATCGGTACGAGGCTAACACTCAATAACCTTTTTTTAGGCCCTTCAAGCTGGTCTTTCGGTACTTCAGCTTTTTGATTCGTTGGGCTATGTCAGTTTTTCTAGTACTACTGTGGATATAATCAGTATGAAATCTATCGTACAGAGAAACTCTGAGCACTCTACGTAACTCGCTGAACGTCCTTGAGCTTCCTTCAAAGAGCTATAACCAGCATAGTTATCGACTCTGAGCAGTTGATCAGAGCTGGTCCCCTCTATATGTAAGGTGTGTAGCAGCCAGGCTAATCAACCCTAAACCGTAATAAATAATGTACCCTGCTGCTACCATAACGCAAAAGATGAAGGTCTGAAGAAAACATTTATTTCCTAATTACCCCCGGCTACTGAGATACTGCGGGCTGCATATCGATGCGAGATAGTTTGACGCATATATATTTAACGTTCTAATATAGAAACAAGTAGCAGCCACAAATATCATCAGCACCGCATCGTCTTCACACGCCGGCTGTCTTCATGCATCCGTCGACCGTTTTCGAGCCGTTTCTTCAACGCCGCAGCTTCGCTTCTTCTTGCTGTTCCGGAGATGTGTCCCCCGCCGCCGCCGCTCGCCAATTACGCGCGCGCGCCGGTCTGCATCACTTTAATAGCTCCGTCCAGCAATGCAGCTACGAGAAGCGATCCACGAGTCTAACGCCGGCAAATGGAGCGCGACACATAATAGTTGTACAGAATATTTTTCTTAATCTTTATTGATCAAAATGTATGTATTGTAATTGGCTAAGTAAATAAAATATTTTACTATTGGTAAACTAAGGACGTAGCCGGACATATAAATATAGCCAGGGTTAGCTGAAATATACATACTCCATACTCCATTCGCCTGCACATAGTAAGGCATATCAGAAAGATAGTTTTATTTCTCCGCTCCTAGACCACTCGGAGTCTGTTAATAGTTGACACCATACACCACTATTACATTGGTGACCCTGACGTGATATGAACACAAAACCAACAACCTTCGGAAACTACAACTTCAAAAACCTTCGTCATCATCCTCAAGTACCCCATTCATTCGCTCCCGAGCAGATATTGTCTGCAGTCTTCACACTCTGCAAGCCATCTAGCTTTGCAAAGGTTCATCGCAGCACTGGAATAATAATGCTTCCTGTTCCTTCAAGCTACTCTCTGCGCTACAGTATTCGGCACGGCTTACTGCTCGCCTCTGCTTCACGGCACTCTCGCAGATTACTTGCCTTCTTCTCGACTCACCGCAGACTACAAGGCATTCCCTGGCACTTGCAAATTCGTCGACATCTGGACTGCACTATAGACCTCCGGTCTGATCAGGGGGGTGATGTGGCGGCGCTGTCGTTGCACCACAAGCGAAACACGTCGAAGCCTAAATCACGCTAACAAAGTTCCGAAATTAAAACAGTATATATAGAATAGCTCTGAGCTACCTCTCGGAGCGTTGACCGCTCCTCGCGCAGAACACCTTGCCCGGTGTTAGATCTCCCCTTTTCCTTACACCCGCCACAGTGGTGACCCTGACTATTACATTGGTGACCCCGTTACCAACACCGAGAAGGAAGAACAGTAGGATTAAGCACGTTTTGTGAAGAAAAATAAATTATTTTATTTTATTTATTTATTTATTTTATAAATATCAAGGAAGACTTCAGTATATAAAATCTGTGTAATCAAGACGTCATTATGGAGCGAGAAGCGAAGAAATCCGACGCATATACATCAAACCCGGCCAAGGAACAAGTCACAAATACCTAGTTTCTTCTCGAAGAAATTCGGAAGTTATCATTCGAAGTCGCCGCGCTCAAAGCTTCCCAGCATCAAACCTGTTACCAACAGTACAACCAGCGCAATCAGCAACACCGAAGATCACCTTTTCGTCGCAACCGCTCTGTAAGTAGAACTCGATCAAGCTCAAGAACAAGATCCCCTTACTGCTATTATCATCGACGTTTCGGGTTCGAGGCAAGAAAATGCACAACACCGTGTACATTAAAAAATGAAAATATGAAGTCGGAAAACTAATACGCTTGATGTGACGGGATCCGGTGTAACAGAAAAGTCCTACCGTCTTTTCTTCACCGATAAAAAAAGCAAGCTTACCTTTCTTATCGACACCGGAGCAAATATCTCAGTTTTACCGCCGACACAAAGACAGAAGATGAAGCCACTGGATTTTCAACTCTACGCAGCAAACAATACGGTGACTCCTACAGATGGAGAAAAAACAATGGAACTAGATTTAAACCTACGCCGACCATTCAAGTGGAGATTTATCGTCGCTAAAGTCAGCAAACCAATCATCGGTGCTGATTTTCTTCAACATCAGTTGATCGTCAACATTAAAAATAGAAGAATCATCGACGGGAAAAACAATCTTGCATCTCAGTCTTTCGTCCAAGCAACCAATCTGCCCACAATAAGAAGCATAGATGTTCAACAATCGTGTCAAAAGATCCTTGAAGAATATCCTGGAATCACAAGAATAACTTCAATGAAATTAACACCGAAGCACGACGTTGAACATTTCATCGAAACCAATGGACCACCACTTCATTGCCGTGCACGTCCAATCGCACATCACCGATACGAGCAAGTTCGAAAGGAATTCGAAAACATGATCGAGCAAGGAATATGCCGTCCAAGCAAAAGCCCTTGGTCATCACCACTTCACGTTGTACCGAAGAAGAATGGAGAATTATGAGTTTGTGGAGATTACAGAAGACTGAATTCTATTACCACTCCTGACCGCTACCCAATAACTCGAGTCAAGGATTTCACTCATCAACTGTCAGACAAGACTATATTCTCCACCATCGATCTCAACCAAGCTTACCAACAAATAAAAGTACGCGATGAAGACATAGAGAAGACAGCAATAATTACCCCAATGGGATTATTCGAATTTCCAAAAATGACCCCAGGACTGAAGAACGCTGGTCAAACCTTTCAAAGAATCATACACGAAGTACTTCATGGATTGGATTTTTTTTTCACATTCATTGAAGATCTACTTGTTGCAAGCCCTGATAAAGAAACGCACGAAACCCATCTACGCACCATGCTGCAGCGACAATCGACAACAGACGATAGAATCACAATCAACCCTTCGAAATGCATATTTGGACAACAAGAAGTTCAATTTCTTGGTTTCACCGTCAGTAAGGAAGGAATCAAACCGCCTACTAAAAAAGTCAGAGCAATCATCGATTATGCGAAACCTAAAACAATCGAAGAACTAAGGCTAATTTCTTGGGATGGATAATTTTTACAGAGAACACATACCTAAAGCCGTTGAATACCAAGCACCACTTCACGCTTACGTACACAACACGAAGAAAAAAGATAAAACGTTAATCGGATGGAACGATGAAGCTACGAAGGCATTTGAAGCTTGTAAAGTTGCGATCCAAAATGCAGCTTTGCTCGCTCACCCATCATACGAAGCAACCTTTGCTAGCTTCAGCGACGCGTCCGATCTCTCAGCAGAAGCTGTACTCCAACAATACATCAATGGAAAATGGCAACCACTTGGCTATTTCTCGAAGAAATTCTCCGATACTCAACTTATCTACAGTACATTCGACCGAGAGTTACTCGCTATCTACATGGCTATCAAGAACTTCAGAAAAAAGTTCGAGGCTCGAAACCTGATCGTTTTACCGACCACAAGCCATTAACATATGTACTTCAGAAGAAACCATCACCATCGGAAACATCACGACGAGCAAGACAACTCATTTTCATAAGTGAATTCACGACCGACATACGTCACATCAGTGGGAAGGACAACATAGTCGCCGACAAACTCAGTCGTATACCAATCGACAGTGTAACGTGCCCTACATCAATCGACTATCACAAGAATGCCAAAGCACAAAACATCTATCGAAGCAAAGTAACTTGTCCATCAAGCAAGTTACAATGCCAATGACGCATCTACCTATCTACTGTTAAGCCTCAACGTCAACCATGCGACCATACCTACCAGAAGAATATCGTCGCGAAGTCTTCAATGCATTGCACAACATCAGTCACCCAGGTGTTAGAGCAACCAGAAAACTCATCACTGGAAAATTCTTTTGGCCTTCAATACAAGTGGATGTTGGCAACTGGGCGAAGCAATGCATTCAATGCCAAAAATGCAAATTACAAAGACATACATCAAGCAGCCTAGCTTCATTTCCACCCACGGAGAGATTCGAACACCTGCACGTTGACATCGTTGGACCATTACCTACTTCACCGCAAGGACATCGTTACCTCGTAACAATGATTGACAGAACAACAAGATGGCCAGAAGCAATACCTACCGATGATACTTCAGCTGAATCCGTCGCGAAGATAATTTATGAAAATTGGATTACTCGTTTCGGACCACCTAAAACCATCACAACGGATCAAGGAAGAAACTTCGAAAGCAACCTATTCCTCAAACTTCTTCAAACTATGGGAATACAGAAGACACGTACAACGACATGCCATCCTCAATTAAACGGAATAGTCGAACGATGGAATCGTACATTGAAGACCGCACTCAAAACTCGTTTATCTCAACATACAAAGTGGATTGATGAGCTACCTATAGTGCTATTTGGACTACGAGCAACACCGCGTGCAGACACTAGTCTTAGCGCCGCTCAGCTAACCTAAGGCTGCAGCATAAGACTACCGTGGGACTTCTTCACTTCAATATGGTCAAATAATCAAGAAATGAATTACGATTTTGTAACTCACCTTCGAGAATCAATCAACAAAATCTTATCGTCGAAACGCATATCATCACACGGAAATAATAAATCAGTATTCATTCATCTAGATTTGAAAGCATGCAAGCAAGTTTTTGTAAGAAACGACGCAGTGAAGGAATAATTTCAACCTGTATAAAGTATGGAACGTATAAAGTATTAGAGCGAAATAGCAAGACTTTTAAATTACAAATACCCGGAATGAAATCTACAATTATATCGATCGACCGACTAAAGCCTGCCTATATTATTGACGAGGATGCTTCAGAGGACTCACCATCATCATCATCATCATCTCAACCACCAGCGAGGCAGCTGGAAAACCCATCATCTACATCAACCCAGATGAAACCTATTTTAAAAACTACGAGACATGGGCGAGTCGTCAAGCCTCCGGTACGCTTTCGCTAGGGGGAGAGTGATGTAGCAGCCTGGCTTGTCAACCTTAAACCGTAATAAATAATGTACCCATCTGCTACCATAATGCAAAAGGTGAAGGTCTGAAGAAAACATTTATTTCCTAATTACCCCCGGCTACTGCGGGCTGCATATCGATGCGAGATAATTTGACGCATATATATTTAACGTTCTAATATAGAAACAAGAAGCAGCCACAAATATCATCAGCACCGCATCGTCTTCACACGCCGGCTGTCTTCACGCATACGTCGACCATTTTCGAGCAGTTTCTTCAACGCCGCAGCTTCGCTTCTTCTCGCTGTTCTGGAGATGTGTCCCACGCTGCCGCCGCTCGCCGATTACGCGCGCGCGCCGGTCTGCATCACTTTTATAGCTTCGCCCAGCAACGCAGCTACGAGAAGCGATCCACGAGTCTAACGCCGGCAAATGGAGCGCGACACATAATAGCTCTCTTTATCGTACTAAGCTCAAGTGGTTGCCAATACGACTTCATCGGAATGCTCACATTCTTCATTTTCTCTATAGTGTTCTCTTAAACCCTTCTTACCCTTCTTACCTCAAAAATCATTTTGAGTTTCTTCATTATTCCCATTCGCGTAACTTGAGATAAGCAGAGAGCTCGAAGTTGAATTTGCCACTATACACTAGAAAATTTATGAACAAGTTTTTTACGATACAGATTGTTCCTTTATGGAATGAACTCTCATTGGCAGTAATACGCGCTTGTTATAAACTAATTTGCTTAATTTCAAATCGAAAATACTGAGTATTTTCGAGAGTGGTGTGTCGCGCCTAGTGTGGTGGTGCTGGGAGTGGTAGTGCAGGGATTAACGGCGACGGGTATAGTGCGCGCGATTGAGGGAGTGTGCGAGGTTCCCTTAAAACTGGGCAGAACACATCATTTTCTTTCTTTCCGCGGAATTAAGCAAATTAGTTTATAACAACCCCATTATAATGGATTTCCGCAAAGTAACGCCTGATTCTATCAATTATAGTAATACGCGCACCATCCCTATCGGTATTTATAAAACTAGTCAAGAATAATTACCTCGCACTTTAAATTGTGACTTCGCTTCCACACTAGCTATATATGTAGCATATCGATTGCATTTAATTAATTAAATAATTCAATATATATATATATATATATATATATATATATATATATATATATATATATATATATATATATACGTTTGTAGTATTTGTATCTTATATATATATATATATATATATATACATATATATATATATATATATATAAATTGAATTATTTAATTAATTAAATGCAATCGATATGCTACATATATATATATACATACACTCACCATACGAAACACAGCTGCATTAAGCTGCTATTTTACGCTGGTATTTTGTGAGAGCGTGGTCCTTCCCCGGTCGAGCCGACCCATTCGTGCTACAACCATACTATTAATAAAGCTGCAGCAAGGCTTTACCACGTAAAGGACCACGCTCTCACAGAATACTATCGTAAATAACAGTTTTTGGCTGCTGTTTCGATTTGTAGACAGCAGGAGGTCCTTTATACTGGAAACGAGGTATTCCATCTTAGTCTTCAGGGGTGACAACGATTCTGCATTTTGATTCTTAACTGAAAATAGATGTAGTAGAAATGTATTCTATGAACCACAACATCCACTTATAATCAGGTGAACTGTGTGCTGGTTTCTTACCTGGAAATAAAATCAAATTCATAATAACTTTCTTTAGATTTTCTTTAATTTAATATTCACTTATTCAATATTTTTGTTCATAAATAGAAAAATCTAATCGAACAAGGGAAAAAAACTTTCTTGTTGCTTGCAACGAACGACGAGAATAGCGCCAATAAAAAAAAATTCCAATTTCAACTGGTTTGTAGTTTTCTGGTTTAATTTGAATTTGAAAAGGTTCAAATTTTCGGGAGTATGAATAACCGTGAGTTCCAATCAATTGTTCAATTCGATTGATTCAGAAGAGCGAGTCGCGACCAGGCCTGGAAACGGCATTGATTTTGGATTATTTCTTTCAAAACTACGAGTATCAAAGAACTAATAAAATATGTCAAGAACAAAATCAATATAATTTGTTAGAAAAAAAAGATGCTTTACTCTTTGTGAGACATCCAAAGGGAATATTACCCAATAAATTATTAAATACTTTTATAAGGAACGAGACGATTTACGATAATTCAATTCACTTGGACGTCCCAGACAAACGTATGTTCCAACAAAAACCCGTTCAAATGAAAACAGCATAAATCGCGAAAGCAATAAGGACACTATAATCCCGACTGTTCTCTATAGGGAATCAAGAAAAACATTTTCAGATACAAATCACCGGCTCTTTGTTAACGATAGTGATGGGCTCCTTAAAGACGGACAAGGCCCTAAAGTGTCGATAGTGTAAGGTCTTCTGAGCACATTAGTTATAAGTAATTTTTAAGTAGTAGAGCCACGCTTTTGCTGTAGATTTTACGACCAGACAGAGAGAATTGTCAGAAGGAATCTAGGCTATGTGTTCCCCAAATATTTCGTACGTGGTAAAGGCATTTCGTAGCATATTATGACTGTAGCCCGAATGGGTTGACTCGACTGGGGAAGGACCACACTTACTGAAAACTAGCGTAAATAGCAGCTCAATGCTGCTGTGTTTTGTTTGGTGAGTATAGAATACGAGAGATACTTTTACTTAAAACAAGGCATTCAATTTTAGTCTTCAGAGGTTATAACGCATCTGCCTTTTGATTGTCAATCAAGGATAGATGTCTATGAGCCACGGCATCTACTTATCATGAAGTGGACTGTGTGGTCGTTAGTCACCTTTATCCTATAAAAATTAACAGCAAATATATTATTTCACTTTAACTACAAATGGGGTAGAACCACGCTCTCAGAGATTATCAGCGTAAAATAGCAATTTATTTATACCTGGTGTGTTTCGTATGGTGAGTAAAGAGAACCTTAGCCTTGTTTCTTATTTGAAGATAGATAAAGATGTCTTTGAATAGAAGTATCTACTTACTATGAGGAGCCACACGCGGCAACGAATAGGTTGCCTCATCCACGGAAGTGCCACTCTCCCAATACCAGCATAAAATATTAGGATATTGCTGATTTGTTTCGTATGGCGAATGATAATAACCAGACATCCTTTTCATCTGGTAACGAGGCATTCCGTGTACGTTTTTAGAGGCTACAAATGAACTATTAATGTTTGCTGCAACAATAAACATTAAACAAAATCGTAACGACATAAAGGGAATGAACGATACTGGGATCACATAAACATCATTTTGTATTCAAAGACTGTCCCCCTATATAAAGGCAGCAAATACGTCTAAAGTCTGAATGACTACAGATAATAAATTGGCGGCAATTTGCCGATTCGCGCCGTCAGCTAGAGCCTACCTCGTAGGGAAGGGTACTAAAATATTAACTATCGATAAATTATTTTATCGTTTATTTTATCCATTACATTTAATACATGGCTTCTAATATTTTATTATGACGGTTGTTGTTTTATTAAAGAAAAGATAACATGTAAGCACACAGTCCACCTGAAGGTTAGTGCTGTGGTCCAAGGACACCCACATATATTCTCGATAAGAATCAAAATGCAGACGCGTTGCCACCCCTCATTGACAGTTTTCCAGTACAAAAGGTCTCTGGTTCTCTACACTCACCATAGGAAACAGTAGCATTAGGCTGTTATTTTACGCTGGTGTTTTGTGAGAGCATGGTCCTACCCCGGTCGAGCCGACCCATTCATACTACAACCATAATATACCTGCAGCGTGGCTCTACCACGTACAAAATTCTTCCCCGGTAATTCTTTGTACGAGTGTGGTTCTTTGAAGGTGTAGTCACTGCATTCATCATACTGACGCTGCTCTCTGGGAAAATCGTTAACGCAATCCTCACTGAATGAAGTCACGTACAATTTTTTCTTCTTGATTTAAAATCTAAATTGATCAATTAATGTTTCCTTGCAAAAATAACTTCAATGATAAAACAAAAAAAATGTGACATCAAATAATTCTCCAACTGAGCATAATGCTGCAAAGGCAGCGTTTGTTTTCAGTGGGAGCCTTGTGACTTCACTGAAAAGTCGGTGTAAGATCCTTCAATTACGAGTTACAGAGTAATTAATTGCGAGTTAGAGAGTAGTGCTAATATACATGGATAGTGCACATACACACTGGGACTAACCTAGCTAAATGTTAAATCTATACAAATAATAAAGTGTCTGTTTATAATGTCAAAATTTATGTAAACATTTTACTAAATGCATATGAAAGAACATAATATGGTACTTATAATAAAAATAATTTTTATTTTTTTTGTCTGTCTGTCTGTCTGTCTGTTTGTTCTGGCTAATCTATCCGAAATGGCTGGACCGATTTTGACGGGACTTTCACAGGCAGATAGCTTAAGTTATAAGGAGTAAATTAAGCTACTTGTATTTTATGAAAAAAATAGGGTT